GCGTGCGCACTTACACACACACACACACACACACACACACACACACACACACACTGATCAGGACCGACCAATGGAACATTTGTTGCATTGTTTTTAAACTTCGTCAGACTTAATGATATTTGACACATCCATTTGTCATCACTACTTATTTGTATTATGGCAACACCTGGCTGTTCTAGATGCTGTACAATGTGCAGTCAGATTGTCAAAAGCGTCGACTACCCAGTGTGCTGAGCTCTTTTGGTCAGTAGTAAGAGCTGGGCCCTGCCACCTCGAATTTACAAACTAAATAGACAAAAGCTGTGAGATATTATTACCTTGATTTTACAGGGGGGGGGGACTTAGGCCCAAATCAAGAGGTGTTAGGTGCCTAAATAGCTGTGAGGATCTAGCTCCAAGTGACTTGCACAGGGCTACACAGGAACTCTGTGCCAGGCATTGAACTCATCTCCTGAATCTACATCCAGTGCTCCCCACAAGACTAGAGAAGCTCTGTCCCCCCCGCCATGGCCCCAGGACCGCAGCGAGGAGTGAGAGCTCCCCCAGCCCTGAGGCCATGCATGGAGCAAGATCTCCTCCAGTTCTGGGGTCACAGCTTGGGTCGGGCACAGGGGCTTCCCCTGCCCCACCCACCTGGCACTTCTGCTGGGGAGGGGTCAGGGCGCTGGGGCTTGCCCTGCCTGCCCAGCGCTTCTTCAGACCTCTGGGCTTCTGCTACCTGGTGGTGGATTTTTTTCCAGGGTTCCCCAATTGGCTGGGGCCCCTGCGCACGGGCCCCAGCAGGCCAGTGGCTAATCTGCCACTACCTGAAGTCCTGCTCACCCAACACACCGCTGCAAGAGAGGGCCCCGCACTAGAAGTGTAAGGGAGAGTGCTCACTTAGGGACAGGGTAGATCTATCTATAAAAGTGTTGGCATGGGCGGTGGGTATAATAGGTCATAGGAGGCTCAGCCTCCCCTGGCACTGCCGCGGCCGCTGGACCCCTGGTTGCAGGGTTTTGGGGGGAAGTTTTTGATTTATTATGCCCCATGCAGGTTCCAGGGTGGCTGAGGAGGCAGTATGTGCTAGTCAGCTTCAGCCCCTGGACTCCAGGGAGATTACTGATGAACCCAGGAAGCTGAGTAGCATATACTGCCTCTTCAGCCGCCCCAGGGCCTGCGTGGGGAATAGCAAAGCTTCTTCCGGAGGAGCGTCTGAGAGATGCACGCTTTTGTCCGGGTGGCCTGGGGTCTGGGGAGGGGAGGCACGGCGCAACTGCAGTTGGCCTGGGACTCTGGGCAGGGGGTCTTGGGACTTCGGCTGGCTGGGAGCTCCTCCGGCCACGAGGGGGAGTAGAAGGAGGGGGAGCTGGGGCTAGCCTCCTTGAAGGGGTGCTCCACCCGCTGCCCATGAGTGTTGGTTAGGGTTATGTTGCAGCTTGCTATTAAAAGGTGCAGCCATTAGCTTTTCCCTTGCAGCACCAAGAGCTTAAGCTACATTAACCCATTGCACTTCCTATAGTATGTTGTTAGGATAACTTTTAAGTAAAATTGCATTTGTTTTATTTTGTGTGTTTATTGTCTGCATGAGAGCCATTATTAATATTTTTGTTCCTGGAGGCAACCGAGGTTTTGTTCAATATCTTCATTAACGATCTGGAGGATGGCGTGGATTGCACCCTCAGCAAGTTTGCAGATGACACTAAACTGGGAGGAGTGCTAGATACGCTGGAGGGTAGGGATAGGATACAGAGGGACCTAGACAAATTGGAGGGTTGGGCCAAAAGAAATCTGATGAGGTTCAACAAGGACAAGTGCAGAGTCCTGCACTTAGGATGGAAGAATCCCATGCATCGCTACCGAATGGCTAGGCAGCAGTTCTGCATAAAAGGACCTAGGGGTTATGAGTCGACAGTGTGTCCTTGTTGCCAAAAAGGCTAATGGCATTTTGGGCTGTATAAGTAGGGGCATTGCCAGCAGATCAAGGGACGTGATCATTCCCCTCTATTCGACATTGGTGAGGCCTCATCTGGAGTACTGTGTCCAGTTTTAGGCCCCACACTGCAAGAAGGATGTGGATAAATTGGAAAGAGTCCAGCAGAGGGCAACAAAAATGATTAGGGGGCTGGAGCACATGCTTTATGAGGAGAGGCTGAAGGAACTGGGATTGTTTAGTCTGCAGAAGAGAAGAATGAGTGGGGATTTGATAGCTGCTTTCAGCTACCTCAAAGGGGGGTTCCAAAGAGGATGGATCTAGACTGTTCTCAGTGGTACCAGATGACAGAACAAGGAGTAATGGTCTCAAGTTGCAGTGGGGGAGGTTTAGGTTGGATATTAGGAAAAACCTTTTCACTAGGAGGGTGGTGAAGCACTGGAATGGGTTACCTAGGGAGGTGGTGAAATCTCCTTCCTTAGAGGTTTTTAAGATCAGGCTTGATAAAGCCCTGGCTGGGATGATTTAGTTGGGGATTGGTCCTGCTTTGAGCAGGGGGTTGGACTAGATGACCTCCTGAGGTCCCTTTCCAACCCTGATATTATATGATTCTATGAGGTACACCCACCAATGTTATACAGTGTGTAGCCCTGTGCAGCACCACCAACTATAAATATAGGAGTAAGAAGAATACTGCAGAGGGGTGACTAGAGGTACCCATCTAATTCCCCCTTGCAGCTGTGGTCCCAAGGTTCTCCTTTACCCTTAATGACATAAGGCTTCCAAGCAGCATGTGAGAGGTGCTGTCTTCTGAGTAACCTGGGAAGGAAATGGGGGTTACAAAACTTACAAACTAAATAGACAAAACAACAAAGAAATCCCAGGCTTACCAATGGGGAAAATTCCCACTTAATTTTTTTCTCCTAAGATAGATAATTCTTAATGATGGTTGAGTCTTCGAATCCGGCCTGGAACTAGTCTTCCATGAGGAGTATGTGCTTTGCTGCACTGGGGTGTGGAGAAAAGAAAGGGTAACAAAAATCAAATTGAAGAAGACATTATAAAGGCCTCCATAGATATAAAGTTATGACCATGGCCCTATACAGTAAAAGATGTCTGTAAGTTGCCAGCTGTGCAGTTAAACAGGGATATGGTGTATGTGAGGACACAGCTGTTTAGTTGCACAAATATCCTAGCATGTTCATAGACAAGGTCAGGACCAGCTTGCACAGCTGATGCTTCTTCCTCTGCCCTCCATTTTTAAAAAAAATGTTCAACTACCAGCGGCAGTAAAAAATCATATAAAATGTCAGGGTTTGTGCTCCAGAGAGGCCTAGGGGAGGGGTTCTCAACCTTTTTCTTTGAGGTTCCCCACCACCAACATACTATAAGAACTCCAGGGCCCAGTGGGGGGGCTCAGGGCTTCAGCTACCGGAGGGGCCCTGGAGCAGCCCAGCATGGGGCTGGGAGGGCTGGCCCTGAGAGGGCTCCTCTGGTCAGGAGGGGAGAGGAGTGCTCAGGGCTCCTCCAGTTATTGGGGGGGGGCGGGTTTTGGGGCTGTGAGGGGCGGGGTCTCGGGCAGAAGGGCAGGGCCGGCAGGCTAGCCTCCCCACAGTGGAGGTTCCCCCGCCGCTCAGGACAAAAAGACGCATTTAAACGGGTGATAAATATAGGTAAAATATAATTTAAAATAGAATGAGAGAAGAGGATAATTGTATACCGTCTGTCACTACAGGAGTGGTTATATTAATACATAAAAGTTCATGAAGTCAAACAAATAAGATGTCTTACACTGGTGCTAAACAAATGCCCCCTCCACTCCTCCAAAAGCTGCTGTAAAACAGTAACATTTCAACATGAATATTTAAATATGAGAACAGTTCTGTGATCCTAAGTAAATCAGTATCTGTTTATTTGCTCAAGGTGATTACCACTGGGATGAAAGTTAATAGCAGCAATATAGCTGTGAATTGGCAGTGTAGTTGCAAGGTGAGATTAGCAATCAAAGGACAATCATCATTATTATTATTCATTGCTGCTCAAGTGCTCGGAGGTTAGTTTGTTTGTAGCTTTTGTGAATAAAAAGCTCATTTTCCATTAAACCAGTCTGCAGTGGAAGGAATGGATTCAAATAATTATCTGCCTCCAACGGTGTGAGGGGAAATTGTTATGATTAGTTATAAGTAAGTAAATAGCTAAAAACATCTCCCCCCCACAAAAAAAAAGAGTTGGGGGAGGGGGATTTTTATTTTTTGTTTTAGAAATACTCACTGTTCCAAGTAGTTTTTATAGAAGGTTAATAAATTGTTAAGCATGTTACACCTGTGAATAATGTTATAGACTATTCTAAGCACGTCATTTAAAAGCATTATAGATTGTCATAAGCCACAGTTATAAACAGCGTGTTGATTAGTGGAAGTCAATTATTTATTAAAAAATCTAACTCTATAAGAACTATTTATAAATGAAACTTTAATACAAAGTGTGACCCATCATTCTTTCAACATCTTCATATTCTGGGTGTAGTACCATGCAATCACACAGAGCTCACTGCAGGATCAGGACATTAGTCTCAGCTTTGATCTCCACTACAGAATTACTTCGTATAACTACATCGCTCAGGCATGTAAATAAACCACACACCCGAGCAACGTAGTTATACCAACCTAAGCGCTGGTGTAGACAGCACTACATCAGTGGGACAGCTTCTCCCACCAACATAAGTACCGCCTCTCACGGCGGTGGAGTTATTAAGCCAACGGGAGCGATGTCTCCCACTGGCTTGGAGTGCCTTCACCAGAAGGGCGACAGTGGTGCACCAATGCAAGTTTCTAATGTAGACCTGCCCTCAGTCTTCATTGGCAACCTGTCAACCATCAGTGTTCTGTCTTAACGTCAGTTATTCTGGTTTTCAATTACCCATTCTAAACGTTTTCTGTGATTTATTTTCTCTGTTACCAGTGATTTGGATAAGTTTTAAACTACAGTGGAGGGTGTCTTTAAGAATCACTACTAAACTTTTATTCGTTGGTCCTTTGCCTAAATCCCTTGTCTTTTATTCTTTTCTGTTTTCTCCCCCTCCTGTTAGGGTGAATGTTCTCAGAAGTGCTACGACATCTTTGTGTTGGAGACCGTTTGCGTTGCTTGGTTTTCCTTTGAGTTCCTCCTGCGCTCCATTCAGGCAGAAAGCAAGTGCGCCTTCCTGAAGACCCCCCTCAACATCATCGACATCTTAGCCATCTTGCCTTTCTACATCTCTCTGATAGTGGATATGGTCTCCGCCAAAAACAGCAACAGGAAGCCTGGCAGTGGAGCAGGAAACAAGTACTTGGAGCGAGTGGGCCTGGTTCTACGCTTCTTGCGGGCTCTCCGCATCCTGTATGTCATGAGGCTGGCACGCCATTCACTGGGACTGCAGACACTCGGACTCACTGTGCGCCGCTGCACCAGGGAATTTGGACTCCTCCTCCTCTTCCTTTGTGTTGCCATGGCACTCTTTTCTCCACTGGTTTATTTGGCAGAGAGCGAACTGGGAGCCAAGCAAGAATTCACTAGCGTTCCCACCAGCTATTGGTGGGCTGTAATCTCCATGACAACTGTAGGCTATGGAGACATGGTACCTCGGAGCATCCCGGGACAGGTAGTAGCCCTGAGCAGTATCTTGAGTGGTATTTTGCTGATGGCTTTTCCGGTCACTTCCATCTTTCACACTTTTTCCCGCTCTTACACAGAGCTAAAGGAACAGCAGCAGCGAGATGCAAGCAGACAGTTGCACCAGCTAGAGGAAACCACCAGATCCCCAAATGGTGACAGTTCTCAGGGATTGGGTACCTCCTCCCCACTAGACGCAGCTGGGGCGTGGCGGCAGCCAGCAGTGAACCAGGAAGACAAGAGGAGGTGTTGACCGCAAACAACTACAAGACTTAGCCAGCAGCACTGAACTAGCAAATGAGAGAGTTCCATATCTGAAACAAAACCCTGTGGAACAAACATAAATCAGGGTATACAGTGAGATCTGTATAAGAGACTGTCCTTCTTGAGTAACTTTTAGTGTCTCTAAAAACAACGTGGAGTACCGTTCTGCTCCCTCTTTTGTAGAAGGCCGCTTTCGTTAAGCAACTGATTTTGGGCAGCCCCCAAGGAGCAATTGCTTAAGCCAGGTTTCCACTGTGTCCACTGACAAGAAAAAATAAACTTGGAGAGAGAGTTCATCCTAAGGGCCCATTGCTGGGGGAAATAAGGGTGCCATTTACTGTACATAAGCTTCCTGGTGGCCCTACTCTGTGCTAAGAATGTCCCCAAGCCCTTATTCCCTATGTACAATGGATTCAATGTATGTGGCACCCCCATGGGGTGTCCATCTTCAAATGTAAAGTTGAAAGATGGGGGAGAGAGGCCTGCCTGGGCCAGCAGATGGGCAAATTTATCCCTATTCCCTGGTCTTTTAATAAATAGTGATTATTTATTTATTAAATTGGGAACCATAATCTGGGCTGCCTGCTGACAGGTCTGACTTGTGCTCTTGCTCTTTCTGCATTATTTAGTAAACATGCATATCTACAATAGTAGGCTCTGCACTTTAGCCCTGATGACAGAAATATACATGGACAACCTAGTTAATGATACTGAACATCAACTTGTTTTCCTTTGCTCACATTTGCATATAGCTTAAAAAAAAACCAAAAATGTGTTCCTCTGTTAGCCGCCTCCTTCCTGTGTTTTAAAGACTGTTTAACGTTTAAGCAAAAATTAAAAGCACCTGCCCAGTAGGGGTGGGAATAGTTGCAGAGGCTTATGTCTATGTAGTTTTCTGCAGTGGTACTTTGAAGACTGCAGCTCTAAACAAAGGGCTTGATCCAAACCCATTAAGTTAATGGGAGACTTTCCATGGACTTTGGGGATCAAGCCCCAAAGCAGCAGCTGTCCCACATGTTAGGGAATAATCTTGGGAAGAGATGATCTTTTCAGACCCAGGTTACAACTGTCCATCCCTCCCTTCCCCCTAGTTTTCATTCCAAAAGATCACTACATTTAAACAAAAAGTCTGTGCCACAAAAACTCAACCATTTTTGTTTACTGAATCAAAGTTTTCATATCATGAGCATCTGTGAGCTCTCTGCCCCATGCTGCTCCTCCTTCACTGTGTAGCTGGTTCAGTTCAGCGTGTAGCGTACATCTGGATATCATTTAAGAAAAACAACATTGATGGCCACTTCATTCTTTACTGATGTAGGAACATTACACTGCCCTTTTCTGTTCCACCCCTGCTGTCAGGAAATGAACAAATACTCTTATATTACAGATGGGGTTTTTTTCCCCAATGGAGACGAGAATAACCGTACACTCGTAGATGACTGTAGTAAGCCATTCCTCAAGGGAATGGACTGAAAGACATAAAAGGTTGTTTTATTTTAATAAAAAGTGGAAGTTTTGTTTCTGTATTGTTGCATTGGCTTTTCTTTTCCTTTTGAGGCAGTGCCATGTGCTCCAATGTCCCCATAGCTGACAGTAGTCATTTGCTCTTCCTGGCCCATTTTAAACATTGGCCATTATCAGAACAACGGGTCAAGGAATTTGAAAAACCTGTTTATGGTTAATTTAAAAAACAAGATGAAAAGCTGAGCTGGCAAACACCAGTGCACCCACTTCCATTCTCAAATAGGTGCCAGCTCTGGGTCTGAGGTTGAGATGGGAGTGGTATCTACCACTCCCATTGACTCCGAGGAGAATTGTGGTCTCTCAGCCCCACCCAGGAGTGAGCCCGTTTAAAGGGGCCTTATGGACATATAGCACAGTCACATCTTATGGGGAGACTTTCCCTTGCCCCTGCTGAACCTCACATCCAAGCTGTGGAAATAACATCCCCTCAGTGTGGGATCTAAAGAAATACCATGCTGGGTTTTTTTCCGTATACGTTTAGCTTCACCGAGATTAGCCCCCCTCCCTCCAAACAATTTTGGGGTCCTAGGGAGAGGTGAAGGATAATAATAGATTGAAAGCTATATACTGCCTCTTCCTACAAGAAAAGGAGGAGAAAAAAGATTGACCTGCCCCTCTATGAGCCAGTTCCAGGCCTGCCAACTGCTGCCAGCATCTTCACAGCATCGCTCTTTTTGAGTTAAGAAAACTATTGGCCAGTAGTAAAGCAACCACCACACAAACCTTATGGTTTCTGCCCAGAGCGCAGGTGTCTGAGTACTGCCTTGCAATGGAGAATTAGAATGAAGCCTCATACTGCTGGAGAATTGCCACATACTGCTACAATTTGATATTTTAAACTGGAGCAGGATTTTCATGTGTTAAGTCTATTAAGGCTCGTCTTCAAGGCCCAGCATACTAGCCTGCTAAATGTAAAATCAAGCTGTACTGTATGGCAATGCATGCAGTATGGAGGCAATGAAGAATGTGTCAAAGTATTCTTGTCCCAAAACTTAAAATTAAAGCAGCTCACAGATTCTCCAGCTGAACTCAATAGACTAAATCATTTCATAGTATTTACTTTATTTTCTGAACACCATATGCTGTTTATACATCTAATCTAAACACTGGACACAGTGATCACACAAACCTTAAGGGCTAGTTTACAATGGGTTTGTAGATGTCTCTTGAGACGATGAAGGTTATCACTGTGTCTGTTAAAGTCCATGAATCTAGGAGCATTAGATTCTTTCTAAAAAAAAAAAGAGCACATCATGTTTTTCCTGACAGAATGAAAACAAACCTTCACTCTTGGAGGTTTATCAAATAGGCAGTAGTGAACTCCCCTTATAGCTCAACAACTTAGAAACCTGTATTAACTAGGATATGGTTTTAGCAGTTTCTAATGAATCCATCACCATAGTATCTAGCAGCCGGGTGATAGGTATTTAAGGACACTGTAATGCTAAGATCAATGATAATGTAGAAAAAGAATGACTTTGCATGTCTAGCACCTTTCACCTTAAGGTCATAAAAGTATTATTGTGGAGCTATATTAATTATTGTGGATTGGCTGACCACAGCCAGTATCTTGTAGTTTTAAAAGCCATGTAATTAAATTACAATGTGCACACAGTTTTTTGACTAATAAATCAACAACTGCAAAGACATATTACTCCTGTTACATAAAGCTTGGCTTTTAATAAAGGTTCAATTTGCATATTGAGATGACAAACCAGGAAAGTATAAAGCAGGAACCCTTTAAACAAATTATTTTGGAAGCCTTATCAAGTTCTGTTGCACTGAATGTCAGACAGACTACACCCATATGAGAATGATTTTTATTCAGCAATAGGTCTGATCACTGCTAAGACTGATTACATTTGATCAAGTGCTTTGGGAGCCTTTTCACTCTCAGATGTTTCCATTGGTGAATCTGGGCTATTTCCTAACCCTGTCTGCAATTTTTGAGCACCTTAGTAGGCATCCCTATGTTTTTCTTGTGTACCACATGTTTCCGATCCACAATCATAATTAGACAGTCACTTGTTCTTTCCTAAAGACTGCAGATAAGCATTAAGACCTCTTCTACAAAAGGCCAGAGTTGCTAAGCTCTGTGATAGAGGCCATCTTTCCCACTGCCATCTACATGGTGACATTTTGATTTCATGAACACATTAGGAGGTCTCGTACTCCAAATTAATTGAAGGGCACACATACTCCTAGAAGAATATTTCAGTCTTGCAAACCCTGGTGCTCTTATTGTGAGTCTCAGGATGTCTGCTCAGGCCCGGTTTGACAAAGCCCTGGCTGGGATGATTTAGCTGGGGTTGGTCCTGCTTTGAGCAGAGGGTTGGAGTAGATGACCTCCTGAGGTCTCTTCCAACCCTAATCGTCTAGGATTCTGTGATCCTTAAAGCCTCAGCTTGAGGAGTTTCAGCTTTCATCTCTAAAACAAAAGTAAATCGATATTCCTTATGGCTGCAGAGATAAGGACTTGAAAATGTGAACTCAAAAGGTTCAAAAAGCAAATAAAGTGAACCACACATTGATTAGTTTTACAATTTGTTTTGTTTTTAAGTCAATTGACTGATAATTTGAATGTTTGGGGTTGGCAGCATTGATATTTTCAACACATAGCACTAGAAGTTTGACAACAAAACCCCCCAAAATTCAGAGTTTTATAGGGACCAGATGGTACAATGCTATAGAAAAACGGGATACACAGGCTTTTACTATACCTCTCCACTGCACGTTCAAAGCAGCCCTGGTCAGCAGTGACCAAAAGCTGTTACTGTACGATGAGCAGATGGTCTCTGTTAAAGCGTCTCAGACTGGAACCAAAATCACAAAGTCATCATAACAGGCATAGTTATTGGTAGCCTCAGTGCTGAAACTTTCCTGGCCATGGAGGCCAAACTACCCTTTAGCCCATAACGGTATTGCCATCACATCAGGGTTGAGGTACAATAAAAAGGGATAGGCCAGGGGAAATCTGCACTGCTGCAGCATCAGCATGACTAAGGGTTAGTCTACACTGGCAACGCTAAAGCGCTGCCGCGGTAGCACTTTAACGTGGCTTGTGTTGTCGCAGCGCACCACCACAAGGGGCGCAGCTCCCAGTGCTGGAGCACGGCTCCCAGTGCTGCTGCACTGTCTACACTGGTGCTTTACAGCGCTGAAACTTGCTGCGCTCAGGGGGGGTGTTTTTTCACACCCCTGAGCAAGAAAGTTACAGCGCTGTAAATAGCCAGTGTAGACAAGCCCTAAGAAGAGCACTTCACTGCTCCAGAGCAAGTAACCCAGTACCTTTCACAAGAACTAAATTCACAAAAATGTAGGGGCAGGGGGAACGTTGACAGCTGAAATTCACTGCACTATCATCTACTCTGGGCATTTCAGGCTTCTGAAGTCCTTTGCAACTTAGAGAAATCCGATCTGTTTTTCTAGATGTGTATCGTACTTCTTAGACCCACACTGCACATATTTCACACTAATACTTACCCTTACATATACATGAACAATATTTTCACTAGGCCGCTGCTAATAGTCACGCTGATACACCTCTGCCCTGATATAACGCTCCCCGCTATAACACAAATTCAGATATAACTCAGTAAAGCAGTGCTCCGAGGGGGGCGGGGCTGCGCATTCCGGTGGATCAAAGCAAGTTCGATATAACGTGGTTTCACCTATAACGCGGTAAGATTTTTTGGCTCCCGAGGACAGCGTTATATCGAGGTAGAGGTGTACTTTCTTTCTGCTGCAAAGTGTCAACAAAAAAATTAAAACGAAACTCTCAAAATATTACTGGGCTTTCTGTAGTCCCTTGGCACAGTTTAAAAATGTGCTACCCTGATGTAAGAGATCCTGGTTTTTTAGACAGCCACTTCTAAAATTCTAAAAAATTTAACTTTTTTTAGAGGGGTGTTTTAATTTCCTTTGTTTAAAGAAAGTAAAAATATAAGAATAAGGTTCCTTTCACAGCTTTGTTCTGTATACTGCTATTCTCTTTGTGGTCTCAAGGAGGATGGCCACAATGAGAGGCTTCAACTTCCCTCCCAGAAATGGTCTCCATTGCTCAAGGACCTCCACCCCACCCCACCCCACATTTCCTGAATTAAAGCCACTGACCCCATCAGGGACACCTCTAACCTGAACCCAGCTGCCAGCTGCAAAGCACAAGACAGCTATTTGGAATCACGTCTCTAGCTTCCTAGTTAACTCTCTTCTCACGTCATTTCTGGATGTTCTACGGAACCAAGGAGACATTCTAACACCATGGCTGCCAATGTTTCTGTCAGAATAATGTGTACACTGATTATATATAGCTACAGAGAGAGATTTTTAATAGATCTGAAGTCATACTAAAAAAAATGATTGGCCTTTACTAATCTGTTAGGATAAGCACAGAATGCTGCCAAATAAATAATGTAAAAAGGCAGACATGCTCAATTGCCACGTATTGGTTTTTCATCTCCACAATTAAAATTACAAGGTAAAGGTACATGGGTGTCAAAGATTATTATCGGCCCAATTCTGACACTCTTACACCAAACAGTACCTTACTCTGCACGGAATCCCACTAATTTCAGCCCTGTAGTAAGCAGGTACGACTTCCATTGACTTCAGTGGGCGCTCCCATTTACTGTCAGGTTGAATTTGACCCAATTGGTCATAAAAGTTTCGCTGATTTCAATGGGCCCTGTCACAGAGTAAGAAAAAGATGACTTGTGACTCAGCATGGCAGAAACTGGCCATAGGAGTACATTTTGAGCTATACTGTGCAACTGTTACACTGCTGAGCAATAACAGAAGTAATCCCCTTGACTTGAATGGGAATAACATGGGTAAGTGCTTTCCACGGTCCATAAGAGTTGCACAGTCCAGCCTTTCTGTTAGCAAATTGTAACAGGGCAATCAGCTTTTTACTTAATTTCCAGACTCCCTTGTATCCCTGACTTTCCCCCCACTCTTTCCTTTGTATTGTCTGCCACCTCCCCTATATTTCCAGTCTCTGAATCTCCCCACAAATCACTCACACTCTTAATTCCCTACTTCTGCTTTCTACCTAATTTATGCCTCCCCCCACACTCACTCGACCAGAAAGCCCAGTTGAAAAGGGACCCAGGTGGCTCCAGTCAGCACTGCTGACCTAGCTGTTGACAGTCCAGTTGGCGCAGGGCTGGCAGGCTCCCTACCTGGCTCCGCACAGCTCCCAGCAAGGAAGGGTGGGGGTGGGGAGAGCGACATGTCCCTTGGTTCCTAGGTGGAGGGACAGCCACAACCTCAGCGCCAGCTCCACAGCGCCCATTGGCCGGGAACCACAGCCAATGGGAGCTGCAGGAGCAGTGCCTGTGCGCAGAGTCTCCTGGCCACACCACCACCTAGGAGCCAAGGGACATGTTGCTGCTTGGGGGGAGCCGCCTGAGGTAAGCATCACCCAGAGCCCGCACCCCGAGCTCGCATCCCAACCCCCTACCCCAGCCTAGAGCCCCTTTCTGCACCCCAAACTCCTTCCTGGATCCCACATCCTGCACCTCAACCCCCTGCCCCAGCCCAGAGCCCCCTCTGGCACCCCAAAACCCTCATCCCTGGCCCCACCTCAGAGCCCGCACCTCCACCCTGTACCTCAACCCCCTGCCCCAGCCCAGAATCCCCTCCAACACCCACACTCCCACCCAGAGCCCACCCCCCAACCCACTGCTCCAGCTTGGAACCTCCTCCTGCACCCCTGGCCTGGGCCAGAGCCCGCACCCGCACACCAACCTCCTGCCCCAGCACCTATCATTTCTGGCCCCACCCTGGAGTCTGCACCTCTAGCCCAGAGCCCATACCCTCCCACACGCACAACAACCCCCATGCCTTAGACAGGAGCCCCCTCCCACACGCCAAACCCCTCAGCCCCAGCCCAGAGCTCCCCTCCTGCCCCCCAAACCCCTCATTCCCGGCCCCACCCCAACCCCCTGCCCCAGCCTGGTGAGAATGAGTGAAGGAGGGTTGGGAGAGCGAGCAGGGATGGAGAGAGGGGATGGTAGGCAGAGCCTCAGAGAAGGGGCAAGGCTTTGGAGAAGGGGCATGGGCAGGGCAAGGGTGTTCGGTTTTGTGCAATTAGAAAGTGGCAACCCTACCTCCCTATCTCCTCAGTCTCTATTCTGCTCTACAAATAATAGCAGTAGCTCCCCAATCACTAAAAGCAGAAACAGCAGCTCCCCAGTTCCTTCCTATCTACCACATGCTCCACTAGCAACATGGATGTCAAGAGGAACCAAACTCCACCAGCAAGCCACGTGCTGGTCAAATGCCCTGGTGCCCAATGGGCCAGTC